AACAAAGATTCATTTATCGAGATGAGTAATATTTTTGTCAACCAGAAATTTGCTTGATACGATTTATGCGGGTGATTTTTAGTCGATGATGGAAAGGAAACAACGTCGTTCTAAATGCATGGAAGAACGGTTGCGCCTCGGTCAGTTTGTTACTGAGCGGCGTGGAGCACACTTCGAAGATATATGGAACGATGGCTATCTTTTCATCGACTTGAACAAAAAGCTTCAGCAGATCAATATGGAAAGGGAGGAGCTTGTCAAGGCCAGCCAGCTGCTACGGTGCGTTTCTTTTAAAAAGCGTTTTTCTTCTATAGCAATTTGAATTAAAAATGAGTCAAAATGGATGAATGTTACGTTATCTCATGGTACGTTATCTCATGCCTTTGAGTGATTACGCGTGATTATAAACCAGAGTAATGTGAATGCTTATTGCATAACGCGAAATTCATCTAAGACCAGGCTTTATGGCATTTGCACCGCTCCTTTGCTCCTATGGGACCATAGAATCAAGTTACTGCCCCAGTAATATTTGAACTCGTGCATTGCCATACGCATTGCGTGTTGTTTTGTTCGCCACAGCTACTTTAGCCTCAACACGAATGATGTTTCGAGAGCTGGTATTCCTTATATACGACCAACTAAATATCGAATTGTTTTCTTACTCCGGAGTATGTTAGGTGACGAATAAATCTTCCAAGAGCAAATTTAAGGCATGTTGCGGGTGGTGTGAATTCAGATAGTCTACTTAAATTGCCCTTAGACAACTATTAGCAAAAGATAACTGTATTATCAGCATCCGCTGCGATATGAAGGCTTCTCAAAGACTGTGCCATCTGGTATGTTTTTTACGGGCTATTTACTCTCTTTTAGAACGGTCGTCTAATGTTTCTCTCGTTTAGCGACGGTCAGATCTTCGTGCAACTTGTCTGTCCGTTGCCACTTGAACTTTTCACTCGGATAGTGATATCGGTCTGTGCTTTTACCCATTCATTCCTCATCTGTCTTTTCTTGTTATTCTCAACATATATAGTTTCATCTCGGAGCGGTGTGTAATTTTGTAAAACGGAATATATTCTTTAAAAATTGTGTGCACAATCTTTATTGTTTCATGCACGCTTAAATAGTTGCATGTATATTATAATGCATATATCATTGTTTATTATATCAGATGTACTTAATACTGATATATTATCTCTATGTTAATTATTCATTTATTTCGAAAGATTGTTCTATGTATTTTATGCATTCAGTAGATTGTATTAAATGCAATTAATGCTTAGAAAAACACCAAACTCCGTAGAAATCGTAATCAGTAGAATTTGGCCAAAATTTATGAGCATGTACTATTTTCATGTATTATTCTTGTACCAGATGTTTTTTTTTACCCGTCTGAAGAAGCGACCCAAGAATATTTATCAACTATATATATGCACTGTCTTTTCTGCAAGCTGGATGAAAGGTTTGAATTTTCAACATTCGGACTCACTGTTTGGCATTCACTGGCAAGCAGTTGACATGCACGTGCTGTTTTAGCCCTGCCACTTCTTCCATAGTAGTTTTTCGTATTCCGTAATTGCTGTTTCTTCCAGCCTGTGTTTTTGTAAGTCTTCGATTTTACTCATAGCATAATGTGCTTTATAACAGTCTCCCCGAAGATTGCGTATTTCGTTCGTATGTTGATGTTCATAGTGAAAGCGTACAGAACAAGTTTGTTTATGTCATTGACAAATTCCGCTGTTTCGGACCTTGTCCAAGACTGAGTTCTTCACAGCTCAAGAGGGGTGCTGGCGTCGGAAGTTTCCTTCTGCCATTCGCAGCTGTTACAGTGAAGAACATTTTGGCTTCAGAACATCTGCTATCTATAGAAAGAACTCCCGAAGCCAACCCGTATCTCTTCCTCAAAGAAGGCGCCCTGAGACATGTATCAATACGTCGGGGCTGACCAGTTGTTCGATTGACCACATTGTATGCACTCTATGTAAATAACCGCTCTTTCGTGATTTCAGTCATCACAGAACGGTTAACCTTGTATAGTGCTGCAATCTCTGCAACCTTTATGTGCTGAAGTGTATGGAGTTTTGGTTTCAACCATTGTGTTTTACATATTACATTACTGTGTACTGGTAACGACCTGTTTCTTAAGAACGTTTAGTGCAGTGATTATGTTCTAGGAAACGAAAGCCGTTATCCAGTGGAAGTGCTTATGGCAAAAGGCAGTTCTCATCGCAGTCCTCCGTTGTTGTTCAAACCAATTGCTCAAATTCCAACGACGGTTTCGCGAAGCCGGAGCCTGTGCGCGAGTATGCGTCTCTTAGCTTTGATCAGATAGTGACTTGACATTTAAACCGTTTTTTACAGAATGTCGGCGCAGGAGTACTACGAACAAGAGGAAATTTATCGACTAAGAAAGGAGCAGCTTAAGAAGGAGGAAGCCGAATTGCAGGGCGAACTCGATAGATTAGACCGGGAGCGTAATCTGCATATTCGCGAACTGAAACGGGTTCAGAACGAAGACCAGTCAAGGTAAAAGCACTACAGTTCGATTTTACGGTTTAGTGCGTTTCTCACCGTTGCGCTCCCTCTAGACGTAGATGATATTTGAGAAGGAAGTGCAGTCAATTTTCGACTTCTTACTTTAATATAATTTTTTTATCTTACAGATAGCATGTTTTGCTGTCAAAACTTTCAACTGCCGCACGATTTAGAACAAATTGTTTACGTTAATGTGAGGTTCGTAAATTCCAGTAGTGTATGTCGGGATTTCGTATTTTGCAACATAAGTCTCTGAATTTTTCCAGGATCATCGATTCACAACTTTCTTTTTTTGCGAAATGTGTTCAAAAATCAGATCTGGTGCCCTTGCCATGTAAACAAAGTGAATTCTGCATCAGTTTTTCCACTATTTATTCTTGTTTTGTTTTTATCCTGTACGATTCAATTTGAATGTATTTCGTTATAGCCTTCTCAGTCTATTGTTAAACAGCATCTAGACAGGATTTCGTTTCAGCGTTATAACTACTACTTAATTATGTGTTATACATGAACTGACTAACGCTGTGTACAGTGTTACTCAAGAAAATTGATATTTTGATAGAAAACAAGTAGTTCTCTTCCGGAGCGATGTCAGAATCTAGTTTGGCTTGAAAAAGTGTATCATACTCGAGATAAATACGGCATGTGTTATGACACTTCCAGTTAATTAAATAAAGGGCCTGCAAGAAAGCTGAGTCCCACAGATACGTGGCCCTGCTGGAGCTTAGTAGAATATTACACAGGAAGATGAAATAATTAATGGAACGCGAGTGATTAGGAAGAATGTGAAGAATGATTATTACATTCGCTCATGCAGTAGTGGACACGAACAGATTATGTATTGTAAACAAGGAGAAAGAGGATTTCATAATACAAAACTCAATTGAATTGAGGAATGCGTCCATTCAATCACTAAAACTGAAAGGAAAATGAGCAGATGGCCATGAGATTGTAGAATCGGCTTGGTGCAATAGCTGGCAGAAAAAAACTTCTTGGCCAGTTTCTTTTTCAACTTCAACTTTTCTTCAGATTTGCATATTCACAACGCGTTTGATTGTCGATCCAGGATGCCAAGCCTTGATAATCACTTGCAAGTTCACGAACTAAGGACAGAGTTATACAAGGCGGAGATCTGCTTACCCAATTGTAAACGATATTTAAGATGTCATGCAAAATAGTCATATTTAAGATGGCATGAAATTAGTTATATTAACACCAACAATGTGGTTAGTCGAATGTGACCATTACTATTATTTCATCAGGTGGCTCAATGGTCTCCATATATTGCCGAGGCTTTTTCCGCAGTTCGCAGCTATTTTAACGTTTCGAGCCAGAACACCCATGCTATACCTGCTGAAACGTCGAACTAGTCAGTCATTCGACTGACCATATCGTTCGTTGTATATAAATAAGCCGTGACATATGTTATCGTCCAGAGTGGTAATCCGTCCATACCAGTATGTGCTGAAATTGATTGACGTTTCAGTCCAAGCTGATAATCCTGTTGTTTTACTGAAATATTGCTATGCTCATTCCTCTTCCTAGTCTTAGCATTGCTGTCTGTGCGTTTGAATTTATTGCCGCGGCTCTGATATAGGCCAAAAATTAGTCAGTAATGTCATATATATAACCTAATTTCTCAGTGGTGAAATAACCAGAAGGAATAGAAGATACAGAAGAAGTTAAAATACGTTGTAAATATGAATTGAGAAATAACCATCGCCTCATCGTCGGAAAATCACAGTGGTGGACAAAATGAAAGGTGGTTATCGATCATGGATATAGTGTTGATAGATTTGTTGTCTGTCTTGATATCATCAGCTGGATTCATGTTGCTAAGGAGAGAAAAATATTGAAATATGAAAAACTTAACAAGGAAACAGAAAAGTTCCGCGACTAAGGGCTGAAGTTATTCCTCTGGAAATGGATACTTTCAGAACAGTCAGAAACGGCCATCAGCGGCTATGAAAATCCGCTGATGAAACAAAATCGAGGATCTGCAGAAGGCGCACCTACTAAGGAAGAAAATGCACCATTCGCCTAAATTTTTTAAAGAAATAAAAGGTAGTATTTCGAGCTGGAAAGGCGATAGAAGCGATAGAACCATTTGCGGAAAGAGAAAGTTGGGAAAATAAGGTTTATTTTATATCATAGTAAGTGAAATACCTGATATGTGGCTATTTCGTGTTATCCAACAACAAATTCCTTCAGCGATATAACTTAAAAATTTCGCACCTGCGGTTGCAAAGAGATCCGGTCTGTTACTGTCAAAGAAACTTCGTGTTACAAAGATTGACGAGTGAATAAAATATCCTACCTATTGTCAGTGACCATTTTGTCAACTGCGTCATTTTGGTAATTCCGATTTTCAATGGAAAGGGTAAAATGCCGATGCTCAGCGATGTGGTAGGTTTAACATGACCAAAGGTGATGAGGATGGCCCGACCTTATGATTAACTTTCGATTACGCTTTTTATTATTGAAACGAACTGCTCAACTACTTTGATTCTAACTTCTGTCGCAAACTCTCTTAATGTCACTATATGGTTTTTTCAGATACAAGGACCACGTGACGCTTAATAATCGTTTCTTGTTACTGTCGCTTCTTGGTAAAGGCGGGTTTAGTGAAGTTTGGCGCGCGTTTGACCTTGAAGAACAGCGGTATGTCGCTTGTAAGATCCACCAGGTGAATCGTGAATGGAAAGAAGACAAAAAGGCGAACTACGTTCGGTAAGAAGACCGTCGCTGGTCTTTCGTTGTGCTGTGGCGTCTTAAACGGTTGACTTTTCGACTTTTAGACACGCGTTGCGCGAAAAGGACATCCACAAGACGCTTGACCACGCACGCGTTGTCAAACTGTACGACGTGTTCACGATCGACCTGAACTCATTTTGTACGGTGCTCGAATACTGCGACGGCAACGACCTCGACTTTTACCTGAAGCAAAACAAGTCGATCCCTGAAAAAGAGGCACGGTCGATCATTATGCAGGTAGTCAGCGCCTTGAAGTATCTGAACGACATTAAACCGCCGGTCATTCATTACGATTTGAAACCAGGTATTGCTTGTTCTTCTTTAGTTCAGTTTCCAGTTCTCTTGAGTGTGTGTGCTCTGCTCCATTTTGGCCGAAAGGCGAACCAGGAAAGGGCAAGTTAGCCTTTAAATAACAACAGTGAAAACTTGTTTGCTGTTGACGATTAACAAAAGTTGTTACATCTTTCGAGATTTTAATCGCAGAAAATCAGTACTGCAACAAATGTGGGTACTAAAATTGAAAATATGTAATCCTTAATAAATATGTAATCTTCATATTAATAATATGATCCAAATTGTCATTCTGTAAGGAATTTTTCATATTTTGAGCTGAGGTTCATACGAGACTACTCCATTTCCATTTTTAAAATTAGTAGTGTGTAGTAATATGTAAATCATGCATTTGATGATGAATTATTCGATGCAGTTTAAACATATAAAGGAAAGGAAATAGCTGCGCCCTAAATTAGCTTCAGTAAATGAATTAATAGAAATTAAAATTTATCTTTCTATTTTCAGTAGTGCATACGTCGCTAAGGTACTCTCGATTGTTCATCGAGTGCGGCGTTAGAGGGCATTCTACCCCGCTACGATTTCGATTTCATGGTAATCTGGCGAATATAACAGATCGATCAATGTAGACATTGAGCGAACCGTCTGCCATGCTCCACTGCCGGCGAACCCTGGCCTTTTAATTAGTCACATAATGTTTTAAAAAC